GAGGGGAAGGGTGGATGATGCATCCGTCAAGAAGAATGTTAAAACCATCATATGCTATTCCTGTTCATGAATAATTACCTGTCAGGACCTCACTCTGGTAGTAGCTAAAGCCCTTAGCAGGTACCTGCAACCATCAATACTTGATACCACTAAAATACCTCTGCCTTATTCACAAGAAAACCCAGATGGTCTTCCACATAAACTGTTACTCTCCTGTATCAGCAGAATGGTGGTGGTGGCACTCCTGGGACCTGGCAGCATGGCAGAATGCAGAGGCTGGACTCCGCTACAGTCAGGACTCACTTCTGCTGAGCTTCGGGGGCCAGCCTGGTCCCGAGGGGGCATGGAGGCCACGCCCTGGGAGTGGAGGGTCAGCGGGTCTCCGGAGGTCGGCCCTGGAGAGCCCTCAGCGGCAGAGAACGTGACCTTGGCGCCCGGCTGCCACCGGAGTTGTCAGACCACGGCCCGAGGCTCCCTCGCGTCCCTGCACATGGGTGTCCCTCCCACCATGGCAGTGCAATCTTTAATTTAATCTGTTACTACTTGTTATATGGACCTGAAGATATTTTATTACAGGGTTTTTCATTAGTGAAAAATTCATGCCTACCATAGAGAAAATATTTTAGAATTTAATGTTTCTTATATTTATGTAAACTTATGACTTCATTTATATGCTTATTCTTGTATATTCAGGCTATGAATATACTTTCAGATCAATTCATGTTCTGATAAATGATTTTAGTCTTTCAAATGAATGTACTGTACTGCTTGCCTGTATAAAGCCTATGAACAAACATAGGGCTTTTGTAAATGATGCATTTATTGTCATTATCGTTCTTTAATTTTTAAATGAGAAACCACGAGAGAAGGGGTTTTCCTGCGATTGTAAAACCATCATGACACGGTGTGCATTATCCTTCCAGAATGTTAACCAAGCTCTCCAACAATCACTCTGAAATGAGCAAACTTAATTTCAACCAATTGTCGCATTTTAACGACTGACTTAAACTGTACTTTTTCCAGCAAGAAATGCTTTTTGCCTGCAGCGTGAAGTGACGTAAAAGTATGGGTGCTGAATGTGAGCTTCTACTGAAATCTGGGCTGAAAGCATGACTAGAAGCCTATGACAATCTCTCCCATAACCTGGTCTCTATGGACCCGGATCCCTCCTCTCCACTGAGACTTTTCGGGGACCAATCACGATGCCCTGCGCCCGCTGCAGAGCTGATGCACTGGACGGTGAAGGAGCCACATCCCTGACAGACAGACAGCGTAGTGCAGCTCTGACGAAGGCCTTATTTTTCTTCTGTAAATCATCTTTTTACATCTGTTTGTAAACTTGTTAAAAGAATGGATCTAGGCATACATTTTTAGATTTTGATGACATAGCCATTCTGGATTGTATAGGTAGCAAATGTAACTTTTACTTGTTCAGTGGCACATTAAAAAAGCCAGCAAGAGATGCGTTCAGATCACGGTGTGTTGTTTATTATGCCGCTGATATCTTGGTAGACAGAGACGGCATGTCTCTTTACATGTGGGTAGCGCCTTTAACTTACCTGTACAGTTCACTGTTACCATTCTGTTTTTCTATTAATCTTTTGTGAACTTCCTGAATATGTGAGAAAGTACGTACAGTTTACTTTTGAACAATTTTTATCACAGTATTATTTATTGCTTTCTTTCAATAAAGTACTGAAGCCAAATGTCCCACTGCCACTTAAGAGTGCCGAGGGTAAGCTGGACTCTCACTGAGAACAGGCCCGAGCTGGTAATGGGAGCCCGTGTCATCACATGGGCCCTCTGGTAAGAGAAACGCATGGAGAGAATGGAAAGGCTAGAAGGGGGAACTATAGGTGTCCCCAAAGGATGACCGATGGGGTGTTCATGCCTTTGGATCCAGAGACAAGAGGCTCCATCACTTCAGCATCTTCGGGGACAGGACCCCTCTGCTGCAGAGGCGAGGGCAGTGGGCCGAGGGTGGCAAGAGAGTGCAGGTGTCAAGGCTCACCGAGGGTGCCCGGGCGGGGTGGCCAGGGGAATGCACTAGAGAGTGTGCATGTGCATGCTTGTGTATGGGAGCTGTTTATGTTAATTTAGTCAACAGTCTTTATTATTCATATACCCATAGAAACAAGAATGTAGCAAGGGGAGGTGGCAGGGAGATTCACGAGGGACGGGACATACGTACACCTATGGCTAATTCATGTTGATTTACGGCAGAAATCAAACCGATATTGCACAGCAATTATGCTTCAGAAAGAAAGAACATACAAAGGTGGTCAGGAACGTATGAAAAAAAGATTTCTCATAGAGATTTTTTTTTCTCATGGAGATTTACAATCACAACTCTGTGTACATCTGGGTGCAGGCTGCCCACCATCATCAGACCGGCCCACAGCATCAGACATTCCTCCCCAGCATCAGGCCCTCCCCCAGCATCAGACCATACTACAACATCAGACACTCGCCCAGCAACAGGCCCTCCCCTAGCATCAGACCTTAGTCTAGCATCAGACATTCCCCCAGCCTCAGACCCTAGTCCAGCATCAGAAGACCCCCCCCCAGCATAAGGCCCTAGTCCAGCATCAGACACTCGGCCAGCAACAGGCTCTTCCCCGAGCTTCTGATCCTAGACTAGCACAAGACGCATCAGACGTACCCCCTCAACATCCGGCCCTAGTCCAGCATCAGACCCACCCCCAGTGTCAGGCCCTCCCCCAGCATCAGGCATGGCAGCCCCACTTGTCTGATGCTCCTGAGCACACTCAGGCAGCCCCTGAGCAGCATGACAACAGCTCGTGCAGGAGGTGCATCTGTAGGAATCACCTGCAGAGCAGCAGCAGCTGGGGTCTGTTTCAGGTCAAGGAGAGGTGGAGGGGCACTTGTGGAGGAGGCAGCCATGCTGTGGGCACGCTCCCCAGCTGTGCTTCCTCCCCATGGGGGCTCTGCTCTCCTGCTCTCTCACAGGCCCCAGGGCAGTGTCCTTCCAGATTCACGGTCGCCTTGATATCTCAAGCCCAAGTTCTGAGTTGCCTCCCAGTGCGGCGAGGCAGAGGGCTGGGAGCACCCACGCTGAGGGGCTGAAAGGATCCCAGGGGTACAGCCGGGCCCCAGTGGGTGGCGGGGCAGGGGACGAGGGTCGCCGCCCACAGAGGGCCCCGCAGCAGCACTGCAAGGACAGCAGCGATGCCTCAGCTCACTCGGGGATGCTGCCGGCCTAGCACTCAGAGATGTTACCGCCGGCAGCAGCTCTGGGGACGCAGGAAGCCCGGTGAGCGACACCACGCTACTCAGGCCGTGTGCATGGGCACTGCTGACCATGGCCTCGGTTTTCATTCTGGTTCCAACTGTCCCTCCAAGGGCTGACGGGCTCCTCTTCTGAACGGCACACTTGTTTTATGTGGGTGAAGGTGTCCCTGCTTGTTTCTGTCCGCACTGTCGCCACTCGTCGTGTGGTTTCCTCCTTACAACCTGTGCTTGCGGCTCTTCCAGTTTAACTTAGGAGCAGCCCTTCTTTTCTGCATTTCCTAGTTGTCAGCGTTCACGGGGCCTTTCCAGGTGGCGCGAGCTGTAGAGATCTTGCCTGCCAATGTGAGAGATAACGAGATGTGGGTTTGATCCCTGGGTCGAGAAGATGCCCTGGAGGAGGGCATGGCAGCCCACTCCAGTATTCTTGCCTGGAGAATCCCATGGACAGAGGAGCTAGCGGCCTACACTCCCTGGGGTCGCAATGAGTCAGACACGACCGAAGCAGTTTAGCACACACTCAGGCTTTAGTTCAGTCGCTCAGTTGTGTCCAACTCTTTGCCACTCTGTGGACTGCAGCACTCCAGGCTTTCCTGTCCTTCAGTATCTCCTGGAGTTTGCTCAAACTCAAGGCCATTGAGTCAGTGATGCCATAGAACCATCTCATTCCTGTTGCATCCACCAGAGCGGTGGCTGGGGCTCGGCAAAGTGCATGGTCCCACTGCGTGGGTGTGCACCTGCCCTCACCACTCCCTGACCGCGTGACCATCACTGTGTCCTCCTCTGTAAATCGGGAGGTGGCAGCCCCTGCTTGGGAAGGGGCACACCCAGCATCTGGTATATAATCAATGCACCATCCATCTCAGCGTTGTCTTTACTAATAATAGGGACAGCATTTAATAAGCTGCTCCTTTTTCTCTCGTGTGTCTTAACTGTGGTCCAGACCACATCTGTTTTACTTACCCCTGGGTGTATATCCCACACCCAGCACAAACAAGATACTGTACAAATATCTGGCTGAAGAGGCAGGAACATACCCTGTCCTCAAGGAGGTGAAGCCGAGAGAGATGGGGGCCTGATGCTCATGCTGGGTGATGAGGAGACCCCAGGAGGACCTGTGTGACTGTGGGGGTCGTGGGCAGAACCCCTGAGGAGCTCCTGGGGACGAGGAAGGTGGCAGGAAGGAGGAGGAGGGCTGCTCCTCGTGGGATGTGCACAGATTGGACCTCACCCCTCACTGATGAGCACTTAGGCCGTTTCCAAACACTTGTCAGTGTTCTGGAGGAGTAAATCATTGCCCAGCTCCTACTCAATCAACTTCATAGAATATGTTTCTAACGTTGGAGTATAAACATCTGCTTTATTCATTCCATGCTTCGTTCATCCACCCATCGAGCCAGCCATCTCTTCAACCATCCATACACTCACTAGTCCATATTCCACCCACTCACTAATTCTGTCGACCCATCAAGCCAGTCATCTGTTCATCCATCCATCCACTCACTAATCCATCCATCCATCCACTCAATAATCCATCCATCCATCCCTCTAGACATAATTCATCCACACATCCACTCATTAACTCATCAGATCATCTTGGACCCACCAAGAAGACGGATGCCTCCTCCACTCTTGCTCCCAGGAGGACCCCGAGTGTGAGTGACAGGAGCCTCGTGGGGCAGGGGGGGAGACACAGAAGGGACAAGCCTGCAGGTTCTCTTCCCTCTCAACGGGGAAGCACCCACCTGGTCCTAAGGCCTCCTTGCCGGGTGTCCAGGCTGGCCCTTTTCCTTCTTTCCAAACAAGCGGCCGATGCACGACTTGATGCCCTTCTTCGGGGCTTTGTGCAGCGAGTCCTGGCTGATGGTGCTGCTGCTGGGGTTGCCCCCGGGGCCGTCCTGAGAGCCGGTCGAGATTCGGGGAGCGAGAAGGACCTTTAACCAGCGGCCTCGTGCAAACACACACCCCTCCTCAAGATCTACTGTTAGAACCGGCCACCCAGCAACACCCGCGCCTCAACCTCAAGCACACAGTGGAGGCTGCTTCACCAACCACACTCCACACAAGCAATGCAGGCTCCCGGCCACAGACATCCGCCCCAGGAAGCTGAGAGTCTCCGACTGGAGCCCCCCCCCCACCCCGGGGAGGGCTTGACTCCAGGCCAGCTGGTGCAGAGGGTGCTCCGACCCTCCCTCAGGTTCGCCGCTTGGCAGGTGACGAGGCTCCCAGAGAAGGCAAGCTCCCCCGCTCCGGGCAGCTCCACCCCACCTCTGCAGGGTGGCCGTCCCCGGCCGTGGCAGGAGAGCTGCTGCACAGGAGACCACACGTGCCCTCCATCGAGTGCTGCCTGGCTGAGGACGGGAGCTCAGCAGGCGGTGGTCTGAATGAGGACAGTGTCAGTCACAGGAGGGGATGGAGTCTCCTGAGAGGAGACCCTTGAGGAAAAGGGAGGGACCCTCAAGAGGGAACACGAGAGGCACGGGGCCATCACCCTCGGGAACGCGCCCTGGGCGGGGCAGACCTCTAGCAAGAGCAGGAAGAAAGCTCCCACAGCGGGGTCAATCCGTAGAGATGGACGTTTTCTAAAATCAGTGAGGCCACTGAGCTCTTCTCCCCCAGCACCTGAAGTTCACCACTAAACACAGGCACCGAACCCAGTGGGATTCCTTTAAAATCATCCTTCTAACTCTTTCAAGAGAACAGGTGCAGGGCTCCTGAAACTGACGACGAGGCGCGCAGACCCCTTACTTGCAGGTGTCCCTGACGTCCTCTGGGCTGGCTGCGCGCAGCACCCCCGTGTGCAGCCGGTCCAGCCAAAGGGACTGCGGCGAGGCAGGGCTCGAGGCTTCACATTGGATGGCAGTCTTGTCATCTTCTACCTCTTCCATTAAAGCTGGCAGCTGAGTGAGACAGGTGTAAAATGGCAGTGTAAAACTGGCTAATGATAGACTGTGTTGAAAAAGGCAACCTCACAGGCTTTACATTATAACCAGAAACTTATTTGTAAATCTATTTGCTATGCTTTCCTCCAAGTAGCAAAAAACAAAAACAAAAACAAAAAACCCTTGTTCCAGCTTAGTGCCATCTTACAGGACTGTCTTGTTCAAGAGAAGCGGGGCATGGGGCAGCGAGAGCACCTGACTGAGTGCAGACACCCTGGACGGGAGCCTCCCTGAAGCCGGGCTCCGCCCTCCCTGGAATCCAGCGACCAGATGGCCCCGCCGGGCAGGAGAGCAGAGTGACGCCAGCACCGTGAACCCTGCATGGCATGAACTGCCCTGAAGAAAGGACTCTGCTCATCGCCAGATGCTGCTTCCACTAGCAAGAGGAAGAAACCTCTCAGCAAAGCCGTCCAGACCTCTCTGTTTGAAGAAAAAAAGGACACAGCTTGTGCCACCACCCAAGATCATTTGTTGTCATGATGCAGCCTACTGGAACCCAGGACAACAAGGGAAAGACAGAAAAGGTACCTAACCCGGCATGCGAACACCACGTGACTGGCTCATATTTCTCAGTAACGGACAGACTGGGGGCTACACGCTGAAGTGCTCCCTCGCAGTCCGAGTGTACTTTGCTCACTGTGGTTTACATGAAGCACCCCTAGGTCTTCACTAAGAGATGACCTTGTATGAGACTAGAGGGGTGGGATGGGGAGGGAGATTCAAAAGGGAAGGGGTATATGTATACCTACGGCTGAGTCATGCTGAGGTTTGCCAGAAAAGAACACAATTCTGTAAAGCAATTATCCTTCAATTAAAACATAAACCAATTGAAAAAAAAAAAAACATGTTTCTCCTGGAGTCCCAGCTTTTCCGCTGGTCCTGGGTGTGAGGACAGGAGAGACAGTGGTGGTAACAGTGTGGGGAACAGATTAACCCCTTCAGGGTCCAGACAGGTCTCACTAGTACATTTGGGTGTGTGGTTAAGCCTGGGGAAGTTTCAGGAAACATGCATGGCAAGTATTTTTGTAAACAATGAGTGTGTTGTTTTAACCAACTAACCTGTGCCTTTTTAGTGGGATTCTCTAAAGAATACTGATCCACTGCAGCCCCACAGGAGCTTGGTGACAACAAAGTGACTTAGTGCAAAATACAGCTGAGCCCGTTTAACAGCAGCTGGATAAACTATGCACCCTCCCCTGATCTCCAACAAGAACCCTCAGACAACAGAAGGCTACAGAGGCTGGAAATGATCCCCACGGAACTGAACAGGGATCAGTCTCAAATTCAAGTTACAATAAGCCTTTATAAAAATCAGAAAACAACAAAAACAGAGTGGGAAATGACACGCCTGGGCTGACCGTGGACTCAGGGGAGACAAACACCTGCCTCAAAGTCAGGGACCGCAGCCAGCCCCTTCCTTCCCCGGGCCTCCTCCTGAGGAAGGCCTCTGGGTCCCCAGCCTGGCCGCCCGCCCCCAGGAGGGAAGCCCGCCACCCTGGTGCCCATGTGACTAGGATGGGCAGGACTGTGTCCTCACATAACAGGAGGGCACAGCAGGCCACAGAGCTGGTGAGCAGCACACCCAGGTCACCAGCCCCAGGGCACAGTGCTGCTCCGCAGTGCCCAGCAGAAGGGCTCCCGGGCACTGAGCTGCCTGAACTGGAGCGCGGCTGCCCGAGTCCTGCGGGAAGGTCCCAGGAGTGGTCGGTCAGTGGGCTGGGAGTGGGAGAGGGACAAGGACGGCCAGCCTTCGGGGCACTGGACTCAACAACAGGGGCTCATCCAAGGGACCCGAGGGGAGAGGCAGCGAGCTCCCTCCTGATGCTCCCTCCATCAGGGATGCCGTGAGGGACACGAGGGCCTCTGGAGGAAAGCGGGCTGGACGGCAGCAGGGTTAAGTGTCCAGGCTCTCATCAGACCAGTCCGCACCACACTGCTGGCTGTGCGAGCCTGGGCACAGGGCCCGGCCTCTCTAAGCCTCAGTGTCCACATCTGCTGAATGGGGATGACAGCAGCCGGGACCTCACCTGGGTGTCTGCCAGATGAGATGACAGGCTCGGAAAGCACTCGACAAGCTGCCTGGTGCACAGAGGCTCCTGCACACTGCTACCCCCGTCATTAGACTGGCATCCCGCAAAGCTACCGCCTATGGCTCGGATTCAGCCGTTTCTTTGAATGGAAATTTCCACACTGAGTGGAAATTCCACTGTGGTCCAGACGTTAGGACTTGGCACTCTCACTGCCGGGACACCAGTCTGGTCCCTGGTTGGGGAATTAAGATCCCATAAGCTGTGCAGCATGGCAAAAAAAATAACTAAAGAAAATTTTAAAAATAATCCTTTGTCTATTATAAATAAGCATGAGTTGATTAGAAGGTAAACAAGTGGGAGAAAGGCAAACTGTTACAAGTGTCCCCGAATGACCTATTACCAAGAGAACCATCAGCATATTTCAACTGGTGGATGAGTTTCAAAACTTCCATTAGTGTCAATTATTCACCAGTACATAACCACATAGTGTTCATTCATGTAACACGATAAGGACTCTTTAATACTTCACAGAGAAACAAAGGCATGCTATATTATTAAATAGTTAACCTTTCGACGATGCTTCCTTAAATCACCAGGCTGAAAGGTGCATGCAAAGAAATGAACAGAAACCAGATGGATTGCAACTTTGATACTAAAAGTGCAAGAATTGTTACAGGCAAATACACTAAAGCAAACATGAAGGCAAACATATGTGAGATGAAGACTTAAGAGAACATGTAACTGGAAACAGAACATATTTTTTAACCACAGAAGTGAAATAAGCTATTCAAGGTTTACTAGAGAAACACTATAAATTATAACTCAGGAAGATACCATTCTATTACAATATCATGATTTATTAAAGCAGAGCATTCTGTTCAACAAAGGGTCTTAAGAGTTGTCTGTTCTCAGCCACAATTCGCTATAACTTAGTTTCTCTTAATAGAAAACACGTTATACTTTAAAGGAGTAATTTCACTGATTAGGAAGTTACCATAATACCTATTTTAAACCTGAACAAATCTAACCAACTATTGGACATTAATGTAAAATCCTTACCTAGAATTTGATATAAAACTTTTCAGAATAAATCCATTAAAGCAGGTATCCCACGAAAATTTGTAAGGAAAGCTAGCATAATAGCAAGTGGAATCTTCACATCTTATGAACCATAAATGATACTTTGTAAAAGAGTCTAGTAGAGACATTAAACATGCAAAAGCTGATGAGATTTACCGTCTAAACTCCAAGCATCAACACAGAAAGGATATTGGGTCAAAAGACCATTAATTATACATTTAGAGGATCATTTCTCCATGTAAGCATAATCTCACTTATGATTACACAGGTTATGTAGTGGATGATCCACCTACACAATGCTTCTAACTGTACAGTGATACACTCACTCTAACTTACTGCTATGCAGGAAAAACACCATCTAATGAGACACGAAGACAAACCACAAACCAGACTAACAGGACACAGCACTGATATGACCAGAGCAAGTGGGAGGATGGGGGAGGGGAAATGGATGTGTGAACTACAGCCTCCGTTGGGAGGGATGGGAGGCTGGGGTCTGGATTGATGACGGCTAAACAGACAACAGGATGAGTCAGGAAATCAAAACCAATGATGAAAGCAGACACACCGTCAGAAAACTCCACAAGGAAAAAATATTCAGGACTGCTCTTTCACAAATACTCGGAAAGAAATCAAGCATGAAACCACAGAGAAATTGTCCAAGAATTTTAAATATCAACGACTTAGACAATGATACAAAGTATAAAAGCAGCGTGTCAAAAGACCACAAAATGGACCAGGTACAACTTCACATGCAGCTAAAATGACCCACATTTATTTTAATTCTATGCTAACAACACAGCTAACATGAAATGGGTGGTAACAGAAAAAAGGGATAATACAAGTGCAGTTTCAAGGCAGAGTGTTGTACACATGATTCAAGGGGTAAACAGCAATGCACTCAGAAACCTAGGCTACACACGCAAGAAAGCTGGCACATGTGCTTTAGAGCTGCACACTCTGTCACCAGAAGCCCTAGGTCGTCATCCCGTGTTGAGACGCGGAAGAGTGAGGCAGCCCGACTTCTTCCCTGGGGCCCTGGGGCCCCGGGGCCTTTAAATGGTTTCACGTGCACAGCTGGCCTGAGCACATGGCAAGGCCCGTCAGCAAGCGGACCAGTTCAGATTCTTGGTTTTGTTGCCACCGCATGCCCTGAACCCTGCAGCCAGGCGACCCCGGTGGAACATGTGCTGCCCGGCTTTTACTCGCCATGAGGGCTGCCTGTGGTAACTTTCACGAGGCTGTCTGCTCCCTGACGACAGAAACTTCCCTGCCGCTGTTGTGCCCAGCACAGGCCAGGCCCACCGTTCCAGAGGCAGGCTCTGGCTGAGTTCACGATGGCTTGCTAAGCCGCTGGTCCAAATATCAAGACTGATTGGTCCCTGTGCCATTATGGAATGATTAAAGACCAGGCAGTTTCACAAGTCTTAGACTTCTGAGCGTAGCAAATGTACCTGATTTTCTCTGGGGAAAAAGAGAAAAAACAGAGAAAGAAAAACAGTGTGCTTGGGGAGGCATGTGGCAGGGAAGAGGCAGGCATATACCGGAGTCATGACGTCCAGCTGGTCTCCCTCGCACGCCAGGCTGTGCCACCTCCTTCGGGGATGGGAGCGCTCCCTGCTGGGCGGGCAGGAGCCAGCAAGTGAGGAGGCAAGACACAGGTTGAGGGAGCTCAGTGACTTAAAACGCTGGGAGTTTCTGGTTGGAGGCCATTTGCTGGCTCCTGTTTTGGGTCGTCTGTTCTCCCAGAGGCTCCTGGAGCCGGCCACCTGGACTGCGCCGCACGTGGGCTTAGAAGGCCAAACGCCCCTGGCCCTGGGACAGCCTCTTCAATCGAGGGGAAGCCGGCCTGGTGCGAAGATCATGTCCTCTTAATTTGGCCATGCACGACCCTGGTTTGGTCTTTCTTCTTTTTTCGGGAGAAGGGCTTTCCTTTGTGGAGACATGGAACTGCCCCCACAGCCCCTCCTCCAAACCTCCCCTCCTTCGTCCCCCACCCCCAGCCCTGTTGGTAGTGTTGGTTAATGAGCTGGTTTGACTCACTAAGTCCTTTCATTTTGGGTCCCGGCTCCCAAGGGGTGGGTGATGCCAGGGACAACTCCTTTCTTGGGTGAATTTTTCATTTGAATCATGCAGCTTAGTCATCCCGTGGCGAAGGCCAGGGCAGCTGCAGGTGCCCACTGTCAACAGCCTGCCTCCCGGGCAAGGTGGGGCTGCCATGCCTGGGACTGAGCTGGTGCCCACCTAAGGGCTCAGGCTCCTGCCAATGTCCATGGCATTTGCCCTGCAGAGCTGCAGGGGTTGGGGCGGGGGTGATGTCAGGGATCAGGGTGATGTGGTAATGATGCACCCCTCCCCTCACCCCGTTGATTTAAAGCTGTTTCCAAACAGTTGAGTCTCTCCTGAAGACGAAGCCTTGTCCCGAAAGGCCCAGTGAGACAGCTGGATCTTGGAGACAATTACGAGCTGGGAGCCCAACTCCTGACTGCCTGCTGATTCTGCCACTGATCATTTGCAGCTGCTTGTTTCGGTCTCCACCTTCAACACCAGTGGCTGAAAAAGCCCATGATGTGTCGCTTAATTTTCTTTCTGATTCTCCCAGATCGGTGGCTGGGGGCTTGGGAGAGGACCCAGAGAAGGGAGCTAGCCACCTGCAATCCCTCTGGCTTTGGGGAACAAAGACTGATGTGAAGGCCCACAGAGAATTCTCTCTTCCAGTCTCAACCCCTTCAAGGGTGGCTGGAAGGGGAGGCAGGGGGCCGTTTTACATAGGATTAGCTTCCAGGTGGCTGCCATTTCAGCACAAGCAGTACTGAAATTCACATAAAAAAGAGAGAGCTGTGAAACTGAGGTCCGGAGTTAATAGGCCCTGCAGCGAGCCTGCAGGCCCGTGGTGCTTGCGAGAACGAGGGCCTGCCCCAAGCTGGGAGCATGGGCCTCAGCTGCGCCCCGAGGCTCATGCTGAGCTGCTCCCAGCACCGCAGGCCAGATTTACCTGCCGCAGGGCTGGAAGGAACCTGGCGGGGACCTCGCGTGCAGCGCCTCTTCTCCGCGGGAGTTGTCACACAGCCTGTCTCTGCAGATCCTGCTGCCGTGTGGGACCCAAGGTAGGCGGCCGGTGGGGGCGTCGGGGCCCCGGCAGCACGGGAGGGTTGGGGGGGGGTGCTGTTGGGGGGCCGAGTGTCAAGAGCCGGGACCCAGGGGTCTGGAGTTGCTCCTTCGTGGGCCTTGCCGGGCCTGACACTGAGGGAAGGCGCACTCGCGGGATTGCAGTTTTGTGTGTTTCCTTCTCTCTCTCCATATTTATTTTTTTAATTTATGGAGGCGGTGCAAATTTCAGGAATGGTTGGGGACTAAAGAAAGAACTCTCTAGCTCCATCCATGTGAAGCCTGGCGAGGTCTGCTCCTCTGCACTGGTCATCAGCATTGTGTAAAGAGACTGATACACTTGAGTGTGCAAGCAATGAAGCCGTTCGACATGCTGCTACGAAGACTAATTTGAGCACAATTTTAAAAAAAGGGAAAAAAACTAACCTACAAAAAAAACCCCACCCTTTATTCTTTAATTGTTGCTTTTACAGTGATATTGTGCATGCAAACTAGGAGCATTTTGTGTCTTAAGAAAAATAATCTGAGAACAGATGGCTGTGAAAATTACACCCGTGCACAGAACAAGTCACAGGAATAATAGTTCAGAATTTGGTTTTTCTCTTTTTTCTTGTAAAACCTGAAGGGTTGATATATTCTTTCCATACAGTTATTAGAACTTAGTTTTGTTCTAGCAGTTGTGAAACTTGCAATGAAAAGGAAATGTGCCATTTTTTTTGCCCACTTGGAACTATTCTTAGCTGTATATTTGAAACTGCTAATAACACACGAGCGACGTATGCTGGTTTTTTAGTGCAATTTCTTCTGTAGCTATTCTTTGACCAAACTGTGGGTATTGTTAATATTAATTTATATTTGTCTCATTTTTGTATGTATGCATAGCGTGGTTGTAAGTATGTGTGGTTTATAATCTAAAAAGGTCATAAAGCTCAGTTTGGCTGTAATTTAATTCCCTTCTCTTTATTTTTATTTATTTTTGTACTGTGCTGATTAAATAAAATGCACTGACCAAAAAAAACAAACAAACAGACAAAAAAAAATGCCAAAGGCTGCAGAAGCGTGCTCCGCCCACCCTGCTCTCAGTCTCCTCGGCCCGCTGCTCCATGCTCTCCCTTTCCTCCTGGAGCCACCTAAAAGAGACCAAAACTCGTGAGCTGCCTTTGTCAGCACAGCATCGTGTCTGGACAACAAATTTGGGCTGGCATTCTGTGTCACAATGAGCAAATTCCAGGAATATCTGCTCATTTCACATCTCGGCTAAAAGGTTCGACTTTCCCTCTTTTGAATATTCTCAAACTTGGAATAACTTGGCACTGAGTCTTACAAACTGGCCCCTGGTCATTCACGTTTGATTTGACTCGTTTACGCTAACATTCTGACGGGGCCTGTGTGGCGACTCTCTCCCTGTGAGGAGATACCTGAAGCTGACAACCTTAACCTTCCCTGCTCTCAGGGCAGAGGTGCACGTCAGTGCCTCAAGTCTTCTCCACTGGGAATCGGGAACTCTCTATAACCAACACAGCGATTCACAAACAAGCTGGAGTTTCTAAACAAAACTCCCCAGACCAGATGAAGTGCTGAGGGGATTTTTACTTTTTTAAGGATGTATGTGTAACAACACATCACTTGATGAAATTCTCCACCAGCTGTGTGTGAGTTTCTGGATTCATGTCAATCTGCCGCATTAACCTAGAATTCACGCTTACTGTTCTTCTCCCCTAATGTGTAGTGGATGATTTTATATAGCAGTTGAAATACACAATGATGCCTATAAAATGATTTCCAAATTAAAACACGGGATTCCTGCAGGTCATAACCTCTTCAGCTTCATTCTACGTAAAAGTCTTGAAAGTTTTTCACTTGTGATAGCAAGCTGATGGACACAATTTACTATTCATAAAAGAAGTCAACTTACTGCCTAAGGAAAATTCACTTTACCTGAAAACTTGCTGTAATAAAAAAATATTAATATGCAACCGTTCCATATTACCTGCGGGGACAGGGAAAGCCCATCTTTCTGAGCTAATCTGAGCTGAAACAAGGCCAAGGAGGCAGTCTGTCTCGGCATCAAAAGTGCAGGTGGCACCACCTGCATTTGCTGGCTGTGCCATTCTCGGCTACCCTCCCCCCGAGCCCCACGTGCTCGGCACTGAGGACCGGGCATCTCGGCCTGGGCTGACGTGAAGACAACAATCTAAGCAGCACCTCTGCCTGCTCCTGCACATGGTCACCGGCCTGTGACCGCTCTGGACGTGGAACCGGGACAGGGGCTCAGCTGTGCGGGTGTGGCCCAGGCAGGCCTCGGGGCCCCCGGACACCCAGCTACACCCAGACCCAAGACCTGCTGCTCATCACCAGGCAGACCTTTGCCTTCTATCTCGAGCTGTAAACTGTTACAACTGAGAAGACAGTGTCTAAAAAAATATCTTAAATATCCTGATGAGATGAAAAAAGCTCAAACACATGTTTTGGGCCACTGTCTTACAACAAGCCAATCTTCACACTGTATTAACTTGAAAAGGACAATGCAGATCTGAATGGGAATTTGCCAACCCCCAAACCCCTGCTTTTCTGTTCCAGGTAGCTTTTCACCAGAACGTGGGAGTCTCCGATGGACACGGGAGGGTGAACTCTCAGTGCTGGAGGGCACACGGGACGCAGAGGACACTGCGTCGGCACCTCACCCACCTTGGGGCTCAGAGCTGGGGGGGGACACCCCACAAGAACCCCCCCACAGAGTGCTGACACCAGCTGTGGACAGAACGGCCTGCCTGTCTGAGCTCTCTCATCAAGGGTGGTCTGAGAACTGAAAATCCTTGAAGCAGGCCTGAAGTCAGTTTTCTCACTATGGAAGACTCAAGACTTCTCGTAGGAGAAGACAGCTCCTCAGAGAAGCCCAGTTTCTGGGGAGCCGAGTTCGGGCACACCCACCGGGTCTCCTCACTGATGGTGTCCAGCTGCTCCCGAGGCATCACAGGCAGAGTGTCGGCATCGGCCTGCCCACTGGGCGGCAGCTGACCGGCCGAGCTGAAGAGGGTGACCCTGTCGCCCTCGCCGTCAGACACATCCTCGTCACTCTCGAAGTCCTGGGCCATGGTGGCCACCACGCGGGTCTGCTGCGCGGACTCCCAGTCCTGCTCCCTCTGGCTCTGCACCTGGGCATGAGAGGACCACGGCTGGTCAGCGACATTCAGGACAGCTCACGTCTATCAGGAACCGAACACAATTTTACATGGAAGCCCGACTTTGGATAAACGGCCATGCCTATGAGACACTGCCATCTCTTAAGCGAGCAGTACTGAAGAAATGGGCAGGAGGAGAATCCAGTTCCTAGATGGCCTGCTGACACTCAGGTCAGCATGGACGGAAGGCAAGCCTATCAGGTAATTCACAAGAGTGCGCTGACGGAGTCAGGGACAAAAACGCAAAATTGCAAACATACATCCATGCCTCCATCAGGCAGGCTGAAGGAAAATAAGAAGGAAAAAAATCCTTCTGCTCCAAAGCCACTGGGTCCGCCTCAGCGGTCGTCACTTGTACTAGTTCCCCGAGGAGTGCCGTCCTCACAGGTTCCCAGCCCTACGTGTTCCAGGCTGGCCCGAACACGCAGAGAGAGGAGCGAGCAGGGGCAGCCAGGGAACTGGAGGGCCAGCCCTCCGCGGCTGTCCTCTCGGGGCACAGGCACTCGGGCTCTGCTGGGGGATAGCCCCTCGCACCGCAAGGGCGGCTCTGCCATCAGAGACGCACGGGAGAGTGCCTGCTGGGCCCTGTGCCACACTCCCGCTCTCACATCTCACACCCTTCTCTCTGCAAATCTCCCCCCTGTCCGACTCTCAACCCAGGTCCTGCCTTCTTTCCCACACATGACCTCAAAGCAACTGAGGGGCAGCCTCGAGGTGCTGGCTGCCGGCTACCTGGCCCCCGTGGCCAGAGCCCTCGCCCCCTGACTTCCTCACAACCCCTCCCCAGGGCTGGGCTACCCCCTTCGCTGGCAGCAAGTCCACCTGCCACCATCCCTGCTCCCCTCCAGCGCACCAGCTGCCTATGGGTTCACCCCTAGCAGCCCGGTCAGCACATCCTCTCGCTTCTCTCGCCTTCAAATGGCACAACGGGAACCAGCAGACTCCTCCTCCAGGGCACTCTGCAGTGCCCACTGGGGGTCTCTGAAGGCTGCCTGGGAGAGGCATCTGCTGTCTATACAGCGTATGATCCATCTACATTATGATTTTAACTGTATAGTGGTGCACTAACTCTAACTTACTGCTATGCAGGAAAAACACCATTCAATGAGACACGAAGACAAACCACAAACCAGACTAACGGGACACAGCACTGATATGACCAGAGCGAGTGGGAGGATGGGGAGGGGAGATGGATGTGTGAAGTACAGCCTCTGGTGGGGGGGATGGGAGGCTGGGGTCTGGATTGATGACGGCTAAACAGACAACACGATGAGTCAGGAAATCAAAACCAATGATGAAAGCAGGCACACCGTCAGAAAACTCCACAAGGAAAAATTATTCAGGACTGTTCTTTCACAAACACTCCGAAAGAAATCAAGCATGAAGCCACAGAGAAATCGCCAAGAATTTTAAATATCAACGACTTAGACAATGATACAAATTATAAAAGCAGTGTGTCAAAAGACCACAAAATGGACCAGGTACCACTTCACATGCAGCTAAAATGACCCACATTTATTTTAATTCTATGCTAACAACGCAGCTAACATGAAATGGGTGGGAACAGAAGAAAGGGATAATACAGGTGCAGTTTCAAGGCAGAGTGTTGTACACGAGATTCATGGGGTAAACAGCAATGCACTCAGGAAACTAGGCTACACAGGCAAGAAAGCTGGCACATGTGCTTTAGAGCCGCACACTCTGTCACCAGAAGCCCTAGGTCGTCATCCCGTGTTGAGACGCGGAAGAGTGAGGCAGCCCGACTTCTTCCCTGGGGCCCTGGGGCCCCGGGCCTTTAACTGGTTTCACGCGCACAGCTGGCCTGAGCGCGTGCGGCAAGGCCCATCAGCAAGCGGACCAGTTCAGATTCTTGGTTTTGTTGCCACCGCATGCCCTGCACCCTGCAGCCAGGCGACCCCGGTGGAACATGAGCTGCCCGCCTTTCACTCGCCAAGAGGGCTGCCTGTGGTAACTTTCACGAGGCTGTCTGCTCCCTGACGACAGGAACTTCCCTGCCGCTGTCGTGCCCAGCACAGGCCAGGCCCACCGTTCCAGAGGCAGGCTCTGGCTGAGTTCATGATGGCCCGCTAAGCCGGTGGTCCAAATATCAACACTAATTGGTCCCTGTGCCATTATGGAATGATTAAAGACCAGGCAGTTTTAAAACTCTTAGCCCTCTGAGCATAGTAAATGTACCTGATTTTCCTCTGGGGATAAAGAGAAAAAACAAAGAAAGAAAAACAGTGTGCTCGGGGAGGGATGTGGCAGGGAGGAGGCAGACACATACCGCAGTCATGATGCCCAGCCGGTCTCCCTCGTGCGCCAGGCTGCGCCGCCTCCTTCGGGGTGGGGAGGGCGCCCTGCTGGGCGGGCAGGAGCTGGCAAGTGAGGAGGCAGGACACAGGTTGAGGGAGCTCAGGGACTCAAAACGCCGAAGGCTGCCTAAGCGCGCCCTGCCCGCCCTGCTCTCAGTCTCCTCGGCCCGCTGCTCCGTGCTCTCTTCCTCTTGGATCCACCTAAAGGAGAGAAAAACTCGTCAGCTGCCTCTGTCAGCACAGGAACCTGTCTGGACAGCAAATTTGGGCTGGCATTCTGTGTCGCGATGAGCCAATTCCGGGAACATCTGCTCATTTCACATCTCGGCTAAAAGGTTCGACTTTCCCTCTTTTGAATATTCTCAAACTTGGAATAACTGAGCACTGAGTCTTACAAACTGGCCCCTGGTCATTCACGTTTGATTTGACTCCTTTATGCTAACATTCTGATGGGGCCCGAGTGGCGACTCTCTCCCTGTGAGGAGATACCTGAAGTTGACAACCTTCACCTTCCCTGCTCTCAGGGCAGAGGTGCACGTCAGGGCCTCAAGTCTTTGCCACTGCAAATCGGGAACTCTCTATAACCAAAACAGCGATTCATGAACAAGCTGGAGTTTCTAAACAAAAGTCCCCAGACCAGATGAAGTGCTGAGGGGATTTTTCTTTTCTTACGGTTGCATATGTACAAACGCATCACTTGATGAAGTTCTCCACCAGCTTTGTGCGAGTCTCTGGATTCATGTCAATGTGCCGCATTGACATAGAATTCACCCTTACTGCTCTTCTGCCCTAATGTGTAGTGGAGGATTTTAAATAGCAGTTGAAATACTCGATGATGCATATAAAATGACTTCCAAAATAAAATACAGGATTCTTGCAGGTCATAACCTCTCCAGCTTCACTTCTACCTATAAGTCCTGAAAGTTTTTCACTGGTGATAGCAAGCTGATGGACAGGATTTGCCATTTATAACAAGTCAACTTACTGCCTAAGGAAAATTCACTTTACCTGACAACTTGCTGTTCAAATAAAAATACTAACATGGAACCGTTCCATCGTTCCTGCGGGGATGGGGAAAGCCCATCTTTCTGAGCTCGTCTGAGCTGAAACAGGGCCCAGGAAGCAGTCTGTCTCGGCGTCAAAAGTGCAGGCGGCACCACCTGCGTTTGCTGGGTGTGCCGTTCACCCCTGACTTTCCCCCGAGCCCCGCGTGCTCGGCCCGCAGGCACGGGCACCTCGGCCTGGGCTGACGTGACGAGAACAATCTGAGCAGCAGCTCTGCCTGGTCCTGCACAGGGTCACCGGCCTGCGGCCACTCTGGACGTGGACCCGGGACAGGGGCGTAGCTGTGCGGGTGTGGCCCAGGCAGGCCTCGGGGCCCCCGGACACCCGGCTGCACCCAGACCCAAGGCCCGCTGCTCACCACGAGGCGGGCCTTTGCCTTCTATCCCGTGTTGTAAACTGTTACAACTGCCAAGACGGTGTCTAAAGAAAACATCTGAAATATCCTGATGAGATGAGAGAAACTCAAACATATGTCCTTGGACCACTGTCTTACAACAAGCCAATCTTCACACTGTATTAACTTGAAAAGGACAATGCAGATCTGAATGGGAATTTGCCAACCCCCAAACCCCTGCTTTTCTGTTCCAGGTAGCTTTTCACCAGAACGTGGGAGTCTCCGATGGACACGGGAGGGTGAACTCTCAGTGCTGGAGGGCACACGGGACGCAGAGGACACTGCGTCGGCACCTCACCCACCTTGGGGCTCAGAGCTGGGGGGGGACACCCCACAAAGCCCCCCCACAGAGTGCTGACACCAGCTGTGGACAGAACGGCCTGCCTGTCTGAGCTCTCTCATCAAGGGTGGTCTGAGAGCTGAAAATCCTTGAAGCAGGCCTGAAGTCAGTTTTCTCACTATGGAAGACTCAAGACTTCTCGTAGGAGAAGACAGCTCCTCAGAGAAGCCCAGTTTCTGGGGAGCCGAGTTCGGGCACACCCACCGGGTCTCCTCACTGATGGTGTCCAGCTGCTCCCGAGGCATCACAGGCAGAGTGTCGGCATCGGCCTGCCCACTGGGCGGCAGCTGACCGGCCGAGCTGAAGAGGGTGACCCTGTCGCCCTCGCCGTCAGACACATCCTCGTCACTCTCGAAGTCCTGGGCCATGGTGGCCACCACGCGGGTCTGCTGTGCGGACTCCCAGTCCTGATCCCTCTGGCTCTGCACCTGGGCATGAGAGGACCACGGCTGGTCAGCGACATTCAGGACAGCTCACGTCTATCAGGAACCGAACACAATTTTACATGGAAGCCCGACTTTGGATAAACAGCCATGCCTATGAGACACTGCCATCTCTTAAGCGAGCAGTACTGAAGAAATGGGCAGGAGGAGAATCCAGTTCCTAGATGGCCTGCTGACACTCAGGTCAGCATGGACGGAAGGCAAGCCTATCAGGTAATTCACAAGAGTGCGCTGACGGAGTCAGGGACAAAAACGCAAAATTGCAAACATACATCCATGCCTCCATCAGGCAGGCTGAAGGAAAATAAGAAGGAAAAAAATCCTTCTGCTCCAAAGCCGCTGGGTCCGCCTCAGCGGTCGTCACTTGTACTAGTTCCCCGAGGAGTGCCGTCCTCACAGGTTCCCAGCCCTACGTGTTCCAGGCTGGCCCGAACACGCAGAGAGAGGAGCGAGCAGGGGCAGCCAGGGAACTGGAGGGCCAGCCCTCCGCGGCTGTCCTCTCGGGGCACAGGCACTCGGGCTCTGCTGGGGGATAGCCCCTCGCACCGCAAGGGCGGCTCTGCCATCAGAGACGCACGGGAGAGTGCCTGCTGGGCCCTGTGCCACACTCCCGCTCTCACATCTCACACCCTTCTCTCTGCAAATCTCCCCCCTGTCCGACTCTCAACCCAGGTCCTGCCTTCTTTCCCACACATGACCTCAAAGCAACCGAGGGGCAGCCTCGAGGTGCTGGCTGCCGGCTACCTGGCCCCCGTGGCCAGAGCCCTCGCCCCCTGACTTCCTCACAACCCCTCCCCAGGGCAGGGCTACCCCCTTCGCTGGCAGCAAGTCCACCTGCCACCATCCCTGCTCCCCTCCAGCGCACCAGCTGCCTATGGGTTCACCCCTAGCAGCCCGGTCAGCACATCCTCTCGCTTCTCTCGCCTTCAAATGGCACAACGGGAACCAGCAGACTCCTCCTCCAGGGCACTCTGCAGTGCCCACTGGGGGTCTCTGAAGGCTGCCTGGGAGAGGCATCTGCTGTCTATACAGCGTATGATCCATCTACATTATGATTTTAACTGTATAGTGGTGCACTAACTCTAACTTACTGCTATGCAGGAAAAACACCATTCAATGAGACACGAAGACAAACCACAAACCAGACTAACGGGACACAGCACTGATATGACCAGAGCGAGTGGGAGGATGGGGAGGGGAGATGGATGTGTGAAGTACAGCCTCTGGTGGGGGGGATGGGAGGCTGGGGTCTGGATTGATGACGGCTAAACAGACAACACGATGAGTCAGGAAATCAAAACCAATGATGAAAGCAGGCACACCGTCAGAAAACTCCACAAGGAAAAATTATTCAGGACTGTTCTTTCACAAACACTCCGAAAGAAATCAAGCATGAAGCCACAGAGAAATCGCCAAGAATTTTAAATATCAACGACTTAGACAATGATACAAATTATAAAAGCAGTGTGTCAAAAGACCACAAAATGGACCAGGTACCAGTTCACATGCAGCTAAAATGACCCACGTTTATTTTAATTCTATGCTAACAACGCAGCTAACATGAAATGGGTGGGAACAGAAGAAAGGGATAATACAGGTGCAGTTTCAAGGCAGAGTGTTGTACACGAGATTCATGGGGTAAACAGCAATGCACTCAGAAAACTAGGCTACACAGGCAAGAAAGCTGGCACATGTGCTTTAGAGCCGCACACTCTGTCACCAGAAGCCCTAGGTCGTCATCCCGTGTTGAGACGCGGAAGAGTGAGGCAGCCCGACTTCTTCCCTGGGGCCCTGGGGCCCCGGGCCTTTAACTGGTTTCACGCGCACAGCTGGCCTGAGCGCGTGCGGCAAGGCCCATCAGCAAGCGGACCAGTTCAGATTCTTGGTTTTGTTGCCACCGCATGCCCTGCACCCTGCAGCCAGGCGACCCCGGTGGAACATGAGCTGCCCGCCTTTCACTCGCCAAGAGGGCTGCCTGTGGTAACTTTCACGAGGCTGTCTGCTCCCTGACGACAGGAACTTCCCTGCCGCTGTCGTGCCCAGCACAGGCCAGGCCCACCGTTCCAGAGGCAGGCTCTGGCTGAGTTCATGATGGCCCGCTAAGCCGGTGGTCCAAATATCAACACTAATTGGTCCCTGTGCCATTATGGAATGATTAAAGACCAGGCAGTTTTAAAACTCTTAGCCCTCTGAGCATAGTAAATGTACCTGATTTTCCTCTGGGGATAAAGAGAAAAAACAAAGAAAGAAAAACAGTGTGCTCGGGGAGGGATGTGGCAGGGAGGAGGCAGACACATACCGCAGTCATGATGCCCAGCCGGTCTCCCTCGTGCGCCAGGCTGCGCCGCCTCCTTCGGGGTGGGGAGGGCGCCCTGCTGGGCGGGCAGGAGCTGGCAAGTGAGGAGGCAGGACACAGGTTGAGGGAGCTCAGGGACTCAAAACGCCGAAGGCTGCCTAAGCGCGCCCTGCCCGCCCTGCTCTCAGTCTCCTCGGCCCGCTGCTCCGTGCTCTCTTCCTCTTGGATCCACCTAAAGGAGAGAAAAACTCGTCAGCTGCCTCTGTCAGCACAGGAACCTGTCTGGACAGCAAATTTGGGCTGGCATTCTGTGTCGCGATGAGCCAATTCCGGGAACATCTGCTCATTTCACATCTCGGCTAAAAGGTTCGACTTTCCCTCTTTTGAATATTCTCAAACTTGGAATAACTGAGCACTGAGTCTTACAAACTGGCCCCTGGTCATTCACGTTTGATTTGACTCCTTTATGCTAACATTCTGATGGGGCCCGAGTGGCGACTCTCTCCCTGTGAGGAGATACCTGAAGTTGACAACCTTCACCTTCCCTGCTCTCAGGGCAGAGGTGCACGTCAGGGCCTCAAGTCTTTGCCACTGCAAATCGGGAACTCTCTATAACCAAAACAGCGATTCATGAACAAGCTGGAGTTTCTAAACAAAAGTCCCCAGACCAGATGAAGTGCTGAGGGGATTTTTCTTTTCTTACGGTTGCATATGTACAAACGCATCACTTGATGAAGTTCTCCACCAGCTTTGTGCGAGTCTCTGGATTCATGTCAATGTGCCGCATTGACATAGAATTCACCCTTACTGCTCTTCTGCCCTAATGTGTAGTGGAGGATTTTAAATAGCAGTTGAAATACTCGATGATGCATATAAAATGACTTCCAAAATAAAATACAGGATTCTTGCAGGTCATAACCTCTCCAGCTTCACTTCTACCTATAAGTCCTGAAAGTTTTTCACTGGTGATAGCAAGCTGATGGACAGGATTTGCCATTTATAACAAGTCAACTTACTGCCTAAGGAAAATTCACTTTACCTGACAACTTGCTGTTCAAATAAAAATACTAACATGGAACCGTTCCATCGTTCCTGCGGGGATGGGGAAAGCCCATCTTTCTGAGCTCGTCTGAGCTGAAACAGGGCCCAGGAAGCAGTCTGTCTCGGCGTCAAAAGTGCAGGCGGCACCACCTGCGTTTGCTGGGTGTGCCGTTCACCCCTGACTTTCCCCCGAGCCCCGCGTGCTCGGCCCGCAGGCACGGGCACCTCGGCCTGGGCTGACGTGACGAGAACAATCTGAGCAGCAGCTCTGCCTGGTCCTGCACAGGGTCACCGGCCTGCGGCCACTCTGGACGTGGACCCGGGACAGGGGCGTAGCTGTGCGGGTGTGGCCCAGGCAGGCCTCGGGGCCCCCGGACACCCGGCTGCACCCAGACCCAAGGCCCGCTGCTCACCACGAGGCGGGCCTTTGCCTTCTATCCCGTGTTGTAAACTGCTACAACTGCCAAGACGGTGTCTAAAGAAAACATCTGAAATATCCTGAGATGAGAGAAACTCAAACATATGTCCTTGGACCACTGTCTTACAACAAGCCAATCTTCACACTGTATTAACTTGAAAAGGACAATGCAGATCTGAATGGGAATTTGCCAACCCCCAAACCCCTGCTTTTCTGTTCCAGGTAGCTTTTCACCAGAACGTGGGAGTCTCCGATGGACACGGGAGGGTGAACTCTCAGTGCTGGAGGGCACACGGGACGCAGAGGACACTGCGTCGGCACCTCACCCACCTTGGGGCTCAGAGCTGGGGGGGGACACCCCACAAAGCCCCCCCACAGAGTGCTGACTCCAGCTGTGGACAGAACGGCCTGCCTGTCTGAGCTCTCTCATCAAGGGTGGTCTGGGAACTGAAAATCCTTGAAGCAGGCCTGAAGTCAGTTTTCTCACTATGGAACACTCAAGACTTCTCGTAGGAGAAGACAGCTCCTCAGAGAAGCCCAGTTTCTGGGGAGCCGAGTTCGGGCACACCCACCGGGTCTCCTCACTGATGCTGTCCAGCTGCTCCCGAGGCATCACAGGCAGAGTGTCGGCATCGGCCTGCCCACTGGGCGGCAGCTGACCGGCCGAACTGAAGAGGGTGGGCCCATCACCTTCGCCATCAGGCACATCCTCGTCAGTCTCGAAGTCCTCGGCCACGGTGGCCACCACGCGGGCCTGCTTTGCGGACTCCCAGCCCTGCTCCCTCTGGCTCTGCACCTGGGCATGAGAGGACCACGCCCTGTCAGCGACATTTAGGACAGCTCACGTCTATCAGGAACCGAACACAATTTTACATGGAAGCCCGACTTTGGATAAGCGGCCATGCTTAGGAGACACTGCCATCTCTTAAGCGAGCAGTACTGAAGAAACGGGCAGGAGGAGAATCCAGTTCCTAGATGTCCTGGTCACTCTCAGTTCTTAGCGTGGACGGAAGGAAATCCTATGAGGTTATTCAAAAGGGTGGGCCGATGGAGTCAGAAACAAAAACGCAAAATTAAAAACATACATCCATGCCTCCAGCAGGCAGGCTGAAGGAAAACATGAAAGAAAAAATCCTTCAGCTCCGTAGCCAATAGGTCTGCCTCAGCGGTCATCACTTGTACTAGTTCCCCGAGGAGTGCCATCCTCACAGGTTCCCAGCCCTACGTGTTCCAGGCTGATCTGCACACTCACAAACAGGAGCGAGCAGGGCAGCCAGGGGACTGGAGGGCCAGCCCCCGCGGCTGTCCTCTCGGGGCACAGGCACTCGGCCTCTTCTGGGGGAGAGCCCCTCGCACCGCAAGGGCGGCTGTGCCATCAGAGACGCACGGGAGAGTGCCTGCTGGGCCCCGTGCCGCCCTCCTGCTCTCACACCCTTCTCTCTGCAAATCTCCCCCCTGTCCGACTCTCAACCCAGGTCCTGCCTTCTTTCCCAGACAGGACCTCAAAGCAACCGAGGGGCAGCCTCGAGGTGCTGGCTGCCAGCTACCAGTCCCGTGGCCAGAGCCCTCACCCCGTCTTCCTCACGACCCCTCCCCAGGGCTGGGCCACCCCCTTCACTGGCTGCAGGACCACCTGCCATCATCCCTGCTCCCCTCCAGCGCACCAGCTGCCTATGGGTTCACCCCCATCAGCCCGGTCAGCACATCCTCTCGCTTCTCCCACCTTCCGATGCCTCAACAGGAACCAGCGGACTCCTCCTCCAGGGCTCCCTGCAATGCCCACTGGGGGTCTCTGAGGGCTGCCTGGGAGCGGCCTCTGCTGTCCCTGTCCCACCTGCTCTCCAGCTCTCTGCAAGCAGGCGCTGTGCCCTGCCCTACCGGGCAGCTCCCTGGGAGCTGGAGGAGCCCATGTCACCAAGCCCACTCCCGTCCTTGCCCAGCCCGCCGCCCTCCAACATGTCTCTCCCTGGCTCTAGGCCCGGCCCTCCCTGGGGTTATTCCTCAGGCCCTTGCGCCCCTTTTCAAAGATAAATAACATCTGATGTCCACCACCACAGCCTTCATACTTTGTGAAAATGAAAGTATACAAATGACGAATCCTTAACTGAAATTACACGATGACTGATCAAACTTACCTCTCTGTGTTTGGTACTTAATTCCTCTTCTAAGGAACTACACCTTTGAAGTGTTCGTCGTAGTTCCTCTCTCAACTGAAATAAAAGGGGCCGAATCACTGTGTGTTGATCTGTGTACATACGTTAGTGCACTTCTTATTGTACCCTCACATGATTGCATGGTTACTGTAACAGAACACCTTTAATGTCTCTCATTGACCTTAAGGTGAAGAAAATCTGCTTACTAACGGCTTTAAACTCTAAGTTTCAGAATTTATCCTAAAAGAACTGTATTACCCAGTTTTTAATTGCAAATTGACAAACAGAATAAAATAAATCTTGAGACATTTATGCCAACTAATACTTTTTAACTGGGGGCTTCCCAGGAGGCTCAGTGAGAAAGAATCTGCCTGCCAGTGTGAGAGGGCAGGTTCGATCCCTGGGTTGGGAAGATCCCCTGGAGTAGAAGATGGCCACCCACTCTAGTATTCTTGCCTGGGAAGCCCCATGAAGAGAGGAGCATGGTAGTCTATGGTCCACAGGGTCGCAAAACTCAGACATGTCTGAGCATGTACACAGGCAACGCTTTTTAACCATATAAAACTCTGAGTTCTTACGGAAAAACTGTATTTACAAGAATTCAAGAAGCTCAAAAGTCAACTAGTTCCATAAACACACGCATCGTCCACCTAACCAGGCAGCAAGTGTACAAATCCAGGACGGCCGCGTGGCTGGTACCTTCTCGTCCAGGGCCTTGTGGTGCTCGAAGAGCAATCTCAGTGCCCTGAGGACCTCCAACTCGCTGGTCATGCTGGCTGGGGACCGCGCCTGATGCCTCTCCACCGTCATCTGGAGGGACGGCACGTACCGGGAAACCAGGAGCTCCAGGTGTTCCAGCAGCAGCTGCAAGGTGGGGCCAAAGGAGCACCTTCAACCTCACACTTGAATTCAGGGCCCAGAACGCCTCTCAGCCTCACGCTAAGACCGAAACCATGCTAAGGCATGTCGGAATCCCGCCAGTTCAGTCTAAAGTTAGAGTGGACTTCCCCAGTGGCCCAGGAGTTAACACTCCACACTTCTGCAGGGCTCATGGGTTTTAATCCCTGTGTGGGAACTAAGATCCCACACAAACTGCAGCATGGACAAAAATGGAAGCTAAGAGAACTCTCCCCTCAAATGTACTAAAATTACATTAGCTTTCATCATCAATTTGAAGCAAGGTGTGAGAAACCCGAACTGATCCACCTCGGTCTGCTCAGTGGGAGGATGTGAAAAATGACTTGAAAACCAGACTTTCAAGACAGCAACATGGAGACCAGCGGTGACCCCTGCGGGGCACAGGTCAACACGTGAGACTCCGCCTACTGACCCTGGTGTTGTTCCTTTCTGCTTTTAGTTCCGAGATTTCTGCTTCCCTTCTAAGAAGCTGCTCCCTGCATGCTTTTAGCTGTCGACATGCCAACTCCTAGAAAACAGGTCAATGAGGAAGTAAATAAATGCAAACACAAATGTTAAAGAGAGTGAGACTCTGAAGACTGACACTGTCCAGTCTCTCCAGGCTCCACTCAAAGGATCTCCCTGCCCCTCCGGAGAAGAGGGGGCCTACTGACCCCAAGACCACACAGACCCCTACAACTCAGACTGGCCTGCAGCCTCCACCTCGACCTGGCAGGCACGTGGCAGGGGAGAACCCGGAATCCAAGCCTGTGCGGTAGGGGAGAACCCGGAATCCAAGCCTGCCTTCTCAAGACGCAGGGAAGTCTGAGAGACTTTCCTAAACATACACTTAAGAACAAAGTGGATAAAGAGATTCTTAAACGACACACAGACAAGTGACCGAGAGCCCCTGGGGAGAGTGAAGAAGAAAGGTAAGGTCTTCAAGGCCACCAGGCTTTGGAGTGTTCCTCTGGGAAAGAGGCTGATGGCACCCCAAGGCCGTCTGTTAGCCTGACTCCACTGAAGTCACCCAGTCATTCAACGAACTGCTTAAAATGGTAAATTCATGTTATATGTATTTTATCACAATATGCACATACGCGGGGCCGTCCACGTGGTGAACTTGCTCAAACCGAACCACACGGACTCTTTCATTCTTCTATTGTTCTTTGCACAAATACAAAAATCCTGGGCTATGTCTCCCCTACTACATACTAAGTATTCAGCACCTAGAGCACTGCCCAGCACTTTGTAAGAGGCATGTAGTAGACATGTGAGGCTGTGAGGGTGTGTGTCATACACAGGAGCAGTAGGCACCCGTCATTAGAACACCGGGCGCACTGCTCTGGGCTTTGGACGATGGCAGACGTTAAGGGGCTCAGCCTTTCTGCTCCAAGGACTGACTCTCTAGCTCGACCCACACGCCCCAGAGACTCCTCCAGCCAGTGGATCCCTTGTTTGGAAGAAGAGAGACTTTAAGGGGCTTAGCCTTTCCTTTCCGCTCCAAGGACCGACTCTAGAGCTCAGTCCACGTGCCCCAGTGACTCCTCCAGCCCCTGTTCCCCTTCCTGTGGGGCCCCCGCCCATTGTCCACGCAGCATCTGCACGGCCTCTTACAAGGTCAACCTGCTGGGGTCCATCCTGCCCAGGAGGCCAGAACGCCTTGGCCGGCAGGGCCCACGAGCATGCGAACAAAGTAAAACACAACCCCAACTCTTTGCCGGGTGAGGGCCAACCCGACGGGCCCATCCCCCGGCTGCTCTCACCTCCGGGCACTCTGCTTCCACGACTTGGGATGAGGCCAACTTATTTCTTGTCTTGGCCTTTTTCTTGGGGTTGCAGCATGGGAAAAGTGCCCATAGGATGGCCCTTCTGCGACCCATCCTCGCGGATGGGGGCAGCCCCCCACTTGGGGGCACCTGCTGTTTCTCAGGCAGATCCCTAAGTGCCTGAGGTATCACTACCGATCTCACACTATGACCACTGCTCTCACACACCGCTCTCACACACACCACTCTCACACACACCACTCTCACACACACCACTCTCACACTGCTCTCACACTATGACCACCAGCTCCGCTATCTCAAGAAGAAATGACACGAAGGCTCTGCCTCCAGCACGTCACCCGGGAGCCCGGATCATGAAAGCCACTCTGTCACAAAGGGCTCCATGGTAACAGGGGGGCTGGGCTCCGGCCCACCATCAAGGGTGCAGAGAGTGGGGAGGGGCTGCCAAAAACATGGCAGGTGTGTGTTGGGTGCGGGAGAAGGAAGGCCGTGCCCACAGCTCAGGCCCACCATCAAATGTCACCCTGCAAGGTCACTGGGTCACAGTCAAACCGAACAGTATAAACTGCTTCAGAAACCACCACCGCTAGGGATGAGCACGTCTTCTAAGTGGGCTTCTGCTTCTTCCACCCCCGAAACAAGCCTGCAGTGAGGCTACTGAAAGGGCACCCCTGAACTCAAGGGTGTGCCCAGAACCCACATGGCTGAGGAGGACTCCCCGCACTGGCTTCCCCTCACTCTCACCCTGAGCTTGGTCCTCCCTGACTGGCTCCCTCACTTGAGCTCAGCAAGGGCTTGACCAACCTTGCTCTGGGCGCTTACAATGAACCCAGAGTGGGGACAGGGGTTCATTCAACCTGCTGTGAGCTCACCTTCTTAACTTCAACCCTGCGCCGCCAGACGACTCGGCCCCATGGGGACTGCATGGTGCAGGTTCAGGGGTGGCCCTGCCTCAAGCCGTGACAGCCAGCACCTCCCAGATCCCTCCAGGGGCTGCCCCGCCCTCCACGCGCAAGTCTCCCACCCCCTCTCCTGACCCCACTCCCAGCCTCGCGGCTCTCCACACACCAGGGCATAGCCCACACTGCTCCTGGCTCAGCCTGGTCCTCTGCGGTCACTTGAGGACTCAGTCCCCGGGGTGCTTGAGGTCCTATATCCGCCTATCTCAGCAATGACAGACTCTGGGGAGACAGGGTACAGTTTGGGGTCCCACCCGCAGTGCACCCTGAACACGGTCTCTTTTTTTTTTTTTTTTGCTTTATCTACTGCAGTTCTCTGAGACGTCTTTTGAAAACCTCAACTGTGGCTTTCAAAAAGACTGTAAAATCACTGTGCTCAACTTGAAGAATAAAATCTTCATTTTCAACCTTAAAATGAAACTGGAGGGAAGATTAAAAGCAGTCATTTTTCAAACTGAAAAAGAAAACCCACAGGTGACCCCATCACACAACAGGTCACGCAGCCCCGCTCTCCTCAGCTTCTCCTCCACCACCAGCAGCCCGTCATCGCAAGGCCTGCCCTGGGCTGGCAGGCGCAGGGGAAGCAGGCACACCGGCTCTTCCGTCCCCAGGCTGCGTGGGCTGCTTGCTCCACCTTCTTCCCAAATTCAAGTGGCACTGAAAGAGCATGGGCAAGCTGGGGATTCTGATCCGAAACACAACCGTGGGTACTAAGCAAGGACCCCTGCCTCTTGTTTTCCCGGTATCAAATAAAGATGATCAGTATAATTAGTGTGATGCTTACATGTGGCTTCAGATGAGAGAAGACACCCAGAGCTTCCCCACGTCCAGTTACAAACGCAAGCAGCTTGTAGGTCAGCCTACCCAGAGCTAGAAAAGCTAAATACATTTTAAAAGAGGTCCTCAGGCAGCCACAATCCAAGATCTCAAGCAAAAGGGAAGCCCAGTGAGGCAGCTGGAGACTGAGAGGCCGCTCCTTCCCCCGGGACATCTGAACAAAGCTGACTCTGCAAAGAAAAGGCGGGGGAACGTCCAGCAGAGGGGACTGGCTGACACAGCTCTGGACAGCTCCTCGGACTGGGAAGACAAACATATGAGCGTAGGCCTGACAAGTCAGTCCTGATGGTAGAGACCAGTCTCCCTAAGAAAAGTTAGGCACAGAAAACGTACCCAACACCCTGCCCAAACTGGCTGAGCACTGAGTATCAATCACCTCGTGGTCTTCAGGAGGTGGACGGTGGGATTCAGGACCTGCCTAAAAGGAGGGGCCCTGGGAGGCACCCCAGGCTTCCAGATGGAGATGCTGGAGGGCTCCTCCCTGGGGTCGGGTGAGGGGGGCGGGGAAAGTGGGTGAAGGCTGCTGAGACTCAGCTCACAAGGACCCCCTAGCCTCAAGTCACTCAGGCCCTGAGCGAACACAGAGCTCTGTCCCCACGAGAGGTCTACGTCAGAGGAAAGCCTGGAGAAGACAGCATCACTCAGCACCTCTAGGGCTTTCCAAACGTAGTACCCAACATGCAAACAACAAACCAAAAAAGGGTGTAACAACAAACAGGACCAACAGAAAAAGAACTGAAACAGATCCAGAGGGATCAGATGCATATCAGCATATCAGAGGTATGCTAGATGTATCAATTGCAAATGTCACCAGTTCAAAAAATATACTTGACCAAAGAAAAAATTTCTGAGAATCAAAACGGATGCTACAACTATAAAAAAAAACAGTGACGGAATTTAAGAACTCAGTCTCTGGGATTAACATCAAATTAGAAATAGCTGAACAGAGGATCAGTGAACTGAAGGATGGATCAGTTACAAATATATATATGACGGAAAAGTATAGAATATATTGAAAGAACCTGTTGTTAAACTATGTTGTTAAAGATATAAATGGGTCCCCTTATGAGGGAGAAAAGACAGAAAGGGGAATAAGAAATGCCTCCAGGAGTTGGAACTAAACAGCCTATTGATGAAAGTGTAAGAGAAGAGTGAAAAAGATGGCATACAATTGAGCATTCAGAGCTAAATCACAGATTTGTCAGTTTCTCCAGAAGTAACCTATTTTTGATGCCCAAGGAGAATCGCAATAATAAAACTAAATTAATCTAGTAGGTTATTTTCTCTCTAATGGCACCTGTCCTGATTAATAGGATTTCGGTCGATCTATTTCCTGGGCTTCCCTGGTGGCTCAGATGGTCAAGAATCTGTCTGCAATGCAGGAGACCTGGGATCCATGCCTGGGTTGAGAAGATCGCCTGGAGAAGGGAATGGCAACCTCTTCCACTATTCTTGCCTAGAGAATTCCACGGACAGAGGAACTTGGGAGGCCACATTCCATGGAGTCACAAAGAGTCGGACACAGCTGAGCAACTAATACACATATTTTCTTACCATTTGCTGAGTAGAAGCAATCATTCAGAGCATTTTATAGCACTTTCTAAAGAACGCTTAGTGCCTTAGTGTTTCTATTTAAAGTTTCTAGGATGTTAATTTATATGCAAATAAAATACATAAGAGAGTTCTGTGCCTATTGTGTATATATGACCTCAAAGTAAATGCAAAATATTTATCCCAGAGGGAAAATAAGTTAGAGTGTCTGTGTTCAAAGACTTTTGAAAGCTCTTATTTCAGGCCGAACCGTTGCTGGTGAAGAGTGAAAGTCACTCAGTCATGTCAGACTCTGCGAACGCATGGACTATACAGTCCATGGAATTCTCCAGGCCAGAATACTAGAGTGGGTAGCCGTTTCCCTTCTCCACGGGGTCTTTGCAACCCAGGGATCGAACCCAGGTCTCCTGCATTGCAGGTGGATTCTTCACCAGCTGAGCCACCAGGGAAGCCCCAACAGTTATGAGCAGTTAAGGATTTAACAAATGCTAGATTGTAAAGATAAAATAATAATTCTGCTACGTTAACACACATTTTCTTAAGATCAAATGTTCTCAACGCAGTTTCAGGGAAGAAGTATTTCCCCCTTATGGAAATATCAGTATGTTAATCCCTAAGAAGTCCTTTTCCGAAAAGTTACAAAATAGTTGCGACAATGTAGATGATGTAGATTAAATGGTGATAAACATTGAGTTGATCTCAGTGAGGCAGCAGTGAGTGGTGGCCTGAAGTGAGATCTACTTCGCTGCCCAGGAACTGACCCTGGGTAGCCTGAACCAAAACCAGGAATCCTAGCCGCCAGACCAGCAAGGGCTAGAGGCTAGAAGCCAAGTTTCCCTGGATCTTTGACCAGTGACAAATGCATTTATCATGGAGGCAGAATCGGTAAATGCAGGTACAACGTTTATTATTAGTGACACAGCACAGCAACATGTGGGAAAGCACACGGAGAAACAGCTGGTCTCGTTAAGACAGAAGCAAAGCAGAGAGACACACCTGGAGAGAAAGGTTATGGGCGCCCCCTAGTGAGAAGGAGCACAATAACCACAAGGCAGTTAAGTCATTTAGACAGGCCAGTTCTTCTGGGTCTTTGTCTTCCTTCCTGCCAAGTTTCTGGTTTCTCTCTTCCCATCTGACCTATCCTGGGACTCTCCCCTGGTGTGCACATACCCCTCAGCCAAGATGGATCTCCAAGTGGAGGCTTCTGGGAGAAGCAAGGCTCATTATGGTCTGGCATTTTCGCGGGACTTTTCACCCACAAGGAGCCTCTCTGCGCATGTGTAGTGTTTCCCTTGAACCAAAAGGGGGGTGGGGGGAGGGGAGATCTCTTCATCCTTGACTCAAGCAGGAGTTTGTCCCTCTTTGCCCTTCCCATGGCTATGAAAGTGTTCATAAGAGACAGACACTGGCTATTTACCCTCTTTCTGTTGTTACTTCCATTTCAGAGGGCAAGCAGGACACTGATTGGAAAGGCTCAACTGGAGCCCAACCATCTCTTGCCTCAGGAAATGTAAACAGGCTAGATGTCAATGCCTAACCTGGAGTCCATCTGTCTCCTACAGCAGCATTACGGGAAGACAAAAGGTAGAAAATTATGCCAATGGGGCACCACATCATGGTGCAAAAAGATGGATATAGACAAGGAAAGAAGGAATAAAAACTAAGCATGATGCTAATGGAAACCATTATGCAAGTTAATGGGGGGTGGGGGGAAACCTCATGGAAAACACTTGCATTTATGCCATA